CACGACCACTCCCACCCCCCCACCCCCCACCCCAGCAGCAGCATTGCAGCAGCAGCAGCAGCAGCAGCAGCAGCAGCAGCAGCAGCAGCAGCAGCAGCAGCAGGACCTTGAGGACTCGGAGTTGGTCCTGCGGGGCCTGGGCAATTTGGCGCAGGCGGTCTTCGACTGCGGGCGCGGCGTTGGCGAAGTTGTCGGCCAACAGCACTTTCGCCTTCGCTGCCAACAGCTGCACCGCCGTGTGACTTCCGATGTAACCCAGGCCCCCAGTGCTGCAGCGCATTAATGGCATTAATGGCATTAATGGCATTAATGGCATTAATGGCATTAATGGCATTAATGGCATTAATATTATTAATGGTTTTAATGGTATTAATGGCATTAATGGCATTAATGGCATTAATGGCATTTATGGCATTTATGGCATTTATGGCATTAATTCATTAATGGTATTAATGGTGTTAATGGCATTAATGGCATTTATGGCATTAATGGTATTTATGGTATTAATGGTATTTGTGGCATTGATGGCATTCAGGCCCCCAGTGCTGCAGCGCATTAATGGCATTAATGGCATTAATGGCATTAATGGCATTAATGGCATTAATGGCATTAATGGCATTAATGGCATTTATGGCATTTATGGCATTAATAATATTAATATTATTAATGGTTTTAATGGCATTAATGGCATTAATGCCATTAATGGTGTTAATGGCATTAATGGCCTTTATGGCATTAATGGTATTAATGGCATTAATGGCATTGATGGCATTCAGGCCCCCAGTGCTGCAGCGCATTCATGCCATTAATACCATTAATGGCATTAATGGCGTTAATGGCATTTATGGCATTAATGGCATTAATTCATTAATGGCATTAATGGTGTTAATGGCATTAATGGTATTTGTGGCATTAATGGCATTTGTGGCATTAATGGCATTTGTGGCATTGATGGCATTCAGGCCCCCAGTGCTGCAGCGCATTAATTAATTCATTAATGGCATTAATGGCAATAATGGCATTAATGGCATTAATGGCATTAATTCATTAATGGCACTAATGGTGTTAATGGCATTAATGGCATTCAGGCCCCCAGTGCTGCAGCGCAACAACTAATTAATAAATAAATAAATTAATTAATTAATGGCATTAATGGTATTAATGACATTAA